CAAATTCCAGTACTGCCCCCCAAAAGTTAAATCCTTCAGGAGCTAGACAGTATTGATTTAAGTACTGTTAAGAATAGGGCAGTCCTACTTGGGCGCTGGTGGTTCATGCCTGTAATTATAGCTTCTCAGGAGGCAGGTACTTGGAGGATCATGCTTTAAAGTCAGCCTTGGGCAAATAGTTCATGAGACCCTACCTTGAACATATCCAACACAAAAATGGCTGGCAGAGTGTCTCAAGTGGTACAGTGCCTGCCTAGCAAGCATGAGGTCCTGAGTTCAAACCCCAGTACTGCCAAAAAAAAAAAAAGAATAGAGTAGTCCTGATGAAACAGAATTACCAATCAGGTTCAATTCCACTTAAAAAATAAAATCAAGAAGGTGAGACTCTAGACTGTTTAATCGGTAGATAAATCTTAATGAAGGGTACTTATGTTCGCTGATGCTCTGAGTTTGATGGGTTCTGTTCTTGCTGTTTTCTCCTCCAATCACTGCTCAACTTCCAAACAAAAGAGAATAAGAGTGTATCATTGCCTCTGCTACCTCATTGGCCCTTCTGCCTCCACCCTTTTACTGGAAGTGCTCTCAAAAAGGTCAGTGATGATAATAAACCATCACCATAATATCAGCTAGTGCTTCTGGATTTATTAGGCATCAAACCATGGGCTCAGTGCTTTACACTGGAGGAAGAAACCCAGTGAACCAGAGGGCCATGCAGGATCTGCACATGGTTTAGGGATCAATATTTAAAGGTCAAGACTACTTTGAAAAATAAGATTTCTCATACAAAAATTTGAATGAGAGGTGTTGTCTGGCTGACCACAGTCCTCCCAATGCAGCCATCATATGATGTGACTGTATGTGCTTTTGGGTTTTGCTCACCTCCCGTTTTTATACAATCTGCCAGAGCCCTAAAAGAGCATGACTTACTATCCATCCTTTCCATGAGTACTCTGTTCTGGATTTTATACCTGCTAGGAAAAGAGACCCACTTAAACTAGTTTATGGTGGGAAAGGGTGTTACGAAACCGAAATTCAAGGGCAGGAACTGTGCAGGCTTGGATTTGTGAAAACTGAGCCTGGCAGTAAGATAGCACCAGCCTCCTAATTAGCTACTCTGATTCTCACTCACAGCTGCTCCACTCTCTTCTTGCCACAGACAAGCTTCCTCTTCTTCCTCTTCATCTCCGTGTGTGCGTGCATATGTGCAGTATATTTCTACCCTCTTCATTCCTCAGTAGAGGACCCCTACATTAAAACTGTTTTGCCAGATGGTTTAGCATGACTTGAAAAGGGGATCAAGTCACAAGCAACACACTCTTCTAAAGCCTGATGACCTACTCAGTTTTCTGAGTCTTGGCTTCAAGTTTCAGCTGTCTGTTCTATCTGTAGACTCACTTGTTAGATTGGCATCTAATCTGCTCTGTGACATGATGCCCTGGTTCTGGTCATGGACCTCTTGTGTACATCCCAGATTGCTTTCAACTCTCGGTCACTCTTTCACTTTGTTTACTAACCCTTGGTCCCAACTCCTTACTTGCCTCACTCAGATCCTGCACTACTAACACACTTGGGCCAGGGGATAAGTTCTAGAGGTTAACTTTCCCATTCAGGGTAGGAAAAACAAAACAAAAAACTCCAGAGCTATTATTAGAGAAATTTTCAAAGATAATCCCTGGAATGTTTATATATTAGCTACAAAATTGTCAGTTAGGGTTCTTCTGTTGGTACAAAACAAAACCCATTCCTAGTGGCTTAAGGAAGACAAGGAATTTCTGAAGATACAGAGATGTTACATAGCTCTGGAGAACAGGAATACAAGAACAGCTTAGACAAACTTCTTCTGTAAAGGGCCAGACAGGAAAGGTATTAGGCTTTGAGATCCACATGGCCTGTTACCCTGCCATAAATGTATGAAAAGAATGTGTACCAATAAAACTACTTACAAAACAGACAGCAGGCCAAATTTGACACACAGGATGTAGTCTGAGGATACCTGAGGAAACAACAATTTCAGGACTTGCTCTGAATCTTATCTGTGTCACCCTTCACATCTCTGCTTTATTGTCTTTTCCCTATTGACAACTTCGTAGCTTCTCTGGTTGATGGCTTCTCTTGTGACTTGGATCTTTTTAAAAAAATTTTTTTTCGCAGCACAGGGGTTTGAATTTAGGGCTTCATACTTTGCTAGGCAGGTAGGCACTTTACCACTTGAGCCATTCCACCAGTCCTTTTTATGAGATAGGTATTTTTGGGACAGGATCTTAGCAACTAATTGGCGGGGTTGGCTTGAACCACAATCTTCCTGATCTCTGCCTCCGAGTAGCTAGGATTACAGGTGTTGAGTCACTGGTGCCCAGCATGACTTGGATCTTAAATATCCTCCAAAGGCTCGTGTTTTGAAGGCTTGGTTAGCAGCGTGTGGCACTATTACGATGTGGTGAAACTTTCAGGAAACATGGCCTAAGAGAAGGAATTTACTGGGACCTAGACCCTCCTCTTTCTACCTCTGCTTCCTGGTGCCATGGGTGAGCAGCCTCTTCTGCCACATGTTCCTGCTACATGATCCACTTCCTCATCACAGGCCACGATGGAGCCAACTGACCATGGATTGAAACTTCTGAATCCATGAGCTAAAACAAACTTTTCCTCCTTTAAGTTGTTTAGCCATTTGTCACAGCTATTGACAACTGACTAAAATAGCTTTTGAAAGTTCTGAGCTTCAAGGTCACAAATTCAAGTTCTCACTTCCAGTCCCAATCTGAAATCCTTAGAATAGGGATGTGGCTTGGCCTTCCTTGACTCAGGTGCTCTCTCTAGACCAATCAACTATGGACAGACGGCTGGTTCCTGCTGTATGGGCAGAACTTTATGGGCACCACCCCTACCATTCCAGGAAACAGATCCCAGAAAAATGGGGATAGCTGGACAGACAAGCCAGGGATGCAATAAGGTTTGCATCCATTCAGACTTATTTTTTCAGTCTTGTACTCTACCAGTCTCCCCGTATCCCTTTCTGAAGCAATATCAGCTCCTTGCTGCTTTCCTTACACACTGAGTACCGGGCATCCTCTCTGCTAGTAGAAGCTATACTCATCTTTAAAGTCCCTTGCATAAAAGGTCAGCTGTACCCTCTGTTTCCTCTATACTACATAACATTGGATCAGCATACTGTGTCTTGTTCTGTTACTATTTTTGTTCCTTTCTTTTTGTTTTGCAGACAATAGGTACTCTGCTGACTGAGGAAATGACTTACTCAACATTTTTATCCACTCTGGAACCTTTCACAGAGTAGGCTCTGAGTTCAAATTCATTGAGCTTATGTATTCACAGCTAAATAATTCCAAATTGAAGAAAATGTTGACTTTTGTAAAGGCTTGCATTTATATAGGAAATATGGTATCTACTTTTATGAAAATTATTTTATTTTTCATAAACATTCATTTCCACATTTATGCTAGCAGAAGGAAAACATCTGCAGTGACTTTAATTACAGAAAAACTTATATTTAATCTTTTTGAACACTAAAAAGAAAATAAAGTTCTATCAGGATTGTATACGCTTTTATTGTACTAAATTTAAAAAAAGGCTACTACAGAAATGGATTAAGACAAGCAAAATGAAAGATTAGAAACTTAAAATATTCAAAATTGTTCTTTAAAAATACTCCAAAATGATTAGTATTTGTGCAAGAAATTCACCAAAGAGCCAGAGACCTCACTATGTAATTTCTTCTTTCTAGAACTATTAATTAACATTGCTCCCAGAACTCTGCTAAAGTCCCCTGCTGAAAGGAAGAAAGTAAATACAGTACTGGAAGGAAAACTGGTTCATTTTCACAAAACTGTGAGAGGCTTGAGACTTGTCAAACAAAACACTTGCTAAAGAACTATTTCTAAACTATTAGCTTCTACATAAAAGCTTTCTATTTAATGGCATCCTCCTGGGAGACTGCACTGGAATGTGCAACAGATTTGAAAAAGCCACAGATTTGGCTCGTCTGTACATATTAGGTGTACAGAAGCAAAGCCATTGTGTAGGGTAGGGGGTGGTGCGGGTGGGGTCCCGATTCCCAATGTTGATAGAAGGATTCTCATTTCGCTTGGTTATTCATTTTTTCTACTACAATTACAATTTTGCTAAGAAAAAAATAAAATGTTGGTTGTCTTCTACTCTGGGTTTCTAATTTTCAGGGTTTGAAAAAGAAAAACGTCTCATGTTCCTAAAAGAATTACCTTTTAAGTTGGGGGTGTAGTAATACATATTTGTAATCTCAGCACTCCAGATGCTGAAGGTAGTAAGATCGTAAGTTCGAGGCCACTTTGGGCTACATAGAGACCCTTTCTTGAAAAAAAAAAAAAAGAAGAAAGAAAAAAGAAGAAAGTAAATCACATTCTACAACCTCCAGAGTTGCTGGAAAAACAGCAGAATCTAGCCTCACGGCACCCCCTCTTGAGACTCTGAGCCGCAGGTCGCTGGGGCTTGCCCTGCGCGGGCGACCCTGGCACTGGGTCCGCACAGCACAATCCTTTTGGTAGGCGTTTCTGGGTGGGGATGCTCCAAACCAGTAAAACCACCTACAGAACCCAAGCTTGGACTCTGAACCAAGCCCTTTTGCCTACTTTGCCTTTCCCTCTATTGCGGGGATCCTTACCATCACAACATACAGCGTCTCCCTACCTTCGGGTGCTCCAAGCCCCAGGCGCCCACAGGGCATCCACGCGCAGTAGGACGGGTCTGGAAGGCGCGCGGTCCACTAGTCACGTTGGGCGAGTCGGAACTACAACTCCCATCAGGCCCCGCGGCCGGCTCCCTAACCACCCTCCCTTCCTCCCCAACTCAGCCTGCGGCGGGCTGTGCAGGGCTTTTATCTGCGGACGGGGCGGGAGGGAGCCAGATCCGCGATCTCCCCGACGGCAGCGGCCGCACAAGCGCCCTTAGCTTCTGCGTCCGCGCCCGGCCGAAGCTCGCGGCGCACACGTCCGCCCCGCGCGTAGCAAAGGATGGTCATCCGCGTGTTCGTCGCCTCGTCCTCGGGCTTCGTGGCGGTGAGCTCTGCGGGGCGGCCGCGGGTGGGGGGCGCGGCGCGGGGCGGGGACCCTGCGGTGGGCGCCGAGCACATCCACACGCGGGAGTCGCACCCGGCAGGTGATTCTCACCCCGGGCAATAATGGAAAGGGAGGGAAAGGACGGTGGCTGGGGACCCCGGCTCGCGCCCGATGCGAGACTTGCTCCCCAGGCGTGGCGTGGACAGTCGGAGAAGAGGCTCTTTCCCTTAGACTAGTTTTTCTGGAACTGGGGACACTACGTCTGCTTATTTTATTTTATTTATTTATTTATTTATTTATTTTTTGACTACTTTGTTTTCTAACCTGGCGCCTGAATGAAACAAGTTTAAGTGGGAATTCTCCAGTTCTCCACCCTCCCTTCCTGGTCACCAAGTACCTTTCATAGTTTCATACCTGAGCGAAGAGAATGGTAAACCAGGTCTGTCCTGTTGGGCCAGGATTGTTTATGTTAATTGTCATTTTTTGCCTAAGGTACTATAAATATCTTTACATCTTTTTCTAAACATGTGTGTTCCCCCTCCCCCAAATGCTGAGGTAAATTTCATCTTGGAAATCTAAAAATTGTGGTCTTTTTTTAGCTGTTCTGTTGGGATGCTGTTGAATTCTTTTAGGACGATTTTTTTTGTTTTTAAGAAGTTAAATAGCCAGAGATGTCAGAGTTTAAAGAAAAATTCAGTAGTATACGTGACAACTGAGTAAAACGTACCACATGGGTTTTACGTGATTATCGAGACTTGGTTTCCTTAGCCAAGAGTTAAACTATAGATTAACGAGGCTCCTTTGTAAGATACATAATCAGGTATGTCAAAAAGTGCAGTATTGTTTAAAGTTTCTCTGGCCAGTTGCCTATCCATTAGCTCAACCAGATTGTCCCAAAATTTGTTTCTTAAGTGGGTAGGGTGGAGGATGGAATAAAATATTGTTTGAAAATCCCTATAAACTACTGAAGCTTTTTATTTAAAAATAAGGCACCTTTCCAGTACAAACACCCTCGCTAGCACCAGTAACAATAGCTGGGAAGCTCCAACTTCCCTACAGGCATGTTCTGATTCTCAAACCCCTCATAGTTTCATAGTTTCTGCTGTTTCAAATTATTTGTGGTTGCTTAGTCATATCTCCCTTTCCTCATGGAAGCTGCACTTGATGTGTTGTAAACCTTTGTTTACTGTTTCTTTGACAAATTTTTTCAAATTCTCTTCTTACTATAAAGCTTTTGGTTTTATCATGAACTTATCAGTTTCAATAGTTGTCCCAGTAGCACTTTATTGATTGCTGAAGGGATTCTTCATAGTATTAAGCTTAGGCTACACTGGGAAAGTCAGAGTCAAAGTCGAAGTAATTACTTGGCTTATCCTGTTAGTAGGTAGTAAATGAAGACAGTTCTGGAACCTTGCATCCCTATTTCATTCCTTTAACAAATATTTGTTGTCTGCCTCTTTTATGTGCCTTTTTATTTTTTAAACTTAATGTTACATGTTTTGCACATGGAAATAAAATTAAGAAATTTAGGTTTTAGTGCAGATACTGACTTGATAAGTTTGGACCAGGTGCTCTGTCTCTGCCTGAGGGTTTTAATGAATAACTCAGAATTACATTGTACCTTTACAATGCTTTGATTTCACTAGGTGAGTAAAACGGGAGGGTGAATTCTTGTAAACAGCTTCTTACTTGAACAATATGTGTATCAACCTCACAGTGAATTTATTCTTTTCCTGGGGCATTTTATTGGGATGTCTCAGGTATGTACACCATATGTACAACCTGGAAACACTAATTATCTATTTTAATGATCTGCTGTTTGAGGATCCAGTCTTTTCTAATCTTAGACAATTCTAATCCATTGAGTTTCCCCACTCATAATATTGTCTTCTCTATCAGTACAGTTTTTCTGCCATATTGATGCTTTTGGTGCTGTGAAGTTTATGCTCATATGAAAGAAATAATGATTTCTTAGAAATCTTGGGTTGGAGAGGTTAATAGGACTTACAGCATTAAGCCACATTAAGCTTTCATGAGAATGCTGTGTATCCCCTCCAGCAGTGTTGGGTTGACTATAGGTACTGTTTTACTCTGTACCTAACCAATACCAGCAAGTACATATAAGAACAAACAATTGGATTCCCAAGTCAGTTTGGTTTTAGCTGAAGTTTATTAAATCATAAGGGAGGAATGTGACCAGAATTAACTTAGCTAAGTAAGCCCCCTGGATTCCAAAAAGATGCTCTGCTATTACCAGTATCACTTTTAAACAAATTAGAGAAAATCCTCATATCTTGTTCTGATTCCTCTGAACTCCGGAGCTTCTGCGGGTGGAATAACTAAGATGAAAGGGTGATTGCCCTTTTATCCTCCCTACAGCTCCAGGTGAGGTCTTTCACCAGGAATAAAAATATTATTATGCCACAGATGCCTGAAAATCACATTTAGTAGGCAGCTGATCATGCTGCTGTCATTCACGTTGTAGTAAAGGGACACATAACTTCTACTCTAAGAAAATGGCATATAGTATATAGAAAAGTCATTTTAAATTTTAACTTATTCTGAATCTGAACTAAAAGGGGAGGCCTCGGTAACCTTGTCCAAGAAATAGGTTAATATGACTTTTTAAATTTAAAACATCAGAGTCAACTATTTCATTCATTTAACTGTATTTTCTAAGTCTCCATGCCCTGTCCAGCTCTGTCCTTGGTCTTAAGGAGAACCAGAGGAGAATGGAGGGTGTGGTCTCACTCCTTAAGGAATTTACTAATCAGGTGGGGACATGAGATAGGAAAGGTGAAACCAGCAGTAATCAAGTGCAGCCCAAGGATACATGCCTCTTTCAGGAACATTTTTACTATAGAAATAATCTAGGCAGCAGAGAGGTGCGTTGCAGGATGTCAGATAAGGAGGAAGTATGCTTCAAATCATAAAATATGCATGCAAGAGCCTTAGGCAGATGGCAGGGAGAGGAACTGAGATAGATTGGAGCCTGGGACAGAGTTCACCAGCCTGTTTTTCTCAGCTGGGAAGGGAGGAGTTTTGGTGGGAGGGGTGGCAGCAAAGGTTTCCATGGACCTCTCTTGAGGACTAGGTAGACTCAGGTCCCTACAGGAAGCCCATGACAACAAACTCCATAGTGCTCAGCAGTGCAGAGATATCTTCAGTATCTGTAGCTTGTCTGCTGCTTGGAGCTTTTTGTCCCTCAGGGAGCAAGGTGCTGTATGGTAGAGAGGGACCTCTGGAGTGAGATTTCAAAAGAATCTTTATCTTCTTCCTTGCCTTGACTGAAATTTCTCAAAAAGCAAATAAAGTCTTTCATCCTTCATTAAAGTTCTTGGGCTCAGTCAGAGTTGAAGAGAAACCTAAAGATACTTTAAAATGAAGTCCAACCACCTAATGTTATAGAAAAGGAAACGTGGGCATGGAGTTTTAAGTGGCTTGCCCTGAGGTCACTTATGAAGTCAGTGCAGAGCCAGGTGTAATTGGAAGCCAGATTTCTGATTCCTGCACGCATTCATTCATGAGTTTATTTACCCACGCATTCATTAGTATAGTGATTGATTCATGTGTTTACCAAACAAGCTTTGAAAACTAAGTGTTCTTTGATAAGCAATAGAAGGTGCTAGGTGTCTGGATGATCAGGAATACAGACTTGGATTCTTCCTGATGGCATAAATCAGTGCTGTAGTCACAAAGCTCAGAGACTTGACATGCAAACCATTTAATCAAGAAGAATGGACTGATGCTGGCTTGGGGGAGGCTTCCATGGGACAGGGTGAAATGAAGGAGACAGCAGTATATCCCTGGATGTTGGGGAGCTATTATCATGGATAATGAGAGCAAAAGAGACAAAGAAATTGGAAGCCAGGTTGGAAAATGGAACTGCAAATTGTTTTCAAGTAAGGTTGGGTATGAAGGTGGGGGGAGAGCACATACAAACTGCTTAAAATTGTCCTGCTCTTTGCAACTGCACAATGTATACTTACTGCTTTGCATGATTGATTATTTTTGTAAGCATGCAATTACCAGTCAGGCTGTTGCTTCCCTGTAGAGTCTATTCAGTGAAGTGTCACTGTGTATGGGAGCCAAAGAAAAGAGTTCCAAAGCAATTAAAGTCAGGACGTGATCATGTAAAAATAGAATTATTTCCTGAGAGACTCTAATACCGTAAGTGGCCAGTGAGAGAATGCCTGGATTCTTTAGGATCTTTAACTCATTAGATCTTCACTGTCACATGGCAAGGTAGTTATTTACTGACATTTTACACATGAAGAGACTGAAGTGAACTGAGCTGTAGTACCATAGCTTCTAGAGCAGAATTTCTTCTCTGTGGTGTGTGTCCTGCCTTGAGGGATTGAGAGTTTCAGGGTACTTGATATCCTGCAGTACAGGACAGTCTGGTATAGAGAACTGCTACATACCAAGTATCAGTGGTCCCCCTGACCAGAAACAGTGTGAAGTCCTGGGGAGAAGAATGTGGAGCAAGCAAGTGTAGGGATGAGTCAGAGAATACTAGAGGTGATCAGGGAAAGCAGGAATAAGTTGGGGCCCAAGGACCAGGATGTGGGTGTGATAGAAGGTCAAGCTGGGAAGACCTGTGCATTTCCAAGGGCTGCCATCAACAAAGTGCTCAAAACACTGGTGCTTAAATAACAGAAATGTGTCTCATGGTTCTCAAAGCTAGAGATCAAAGTGTTGGCAGGTTGCTGTCTTCTGAGAACTGTGAAGGAGAATCTGTTCCATGCCCATCTCCTAGCTTCTGGTGATCCATTGGCAAGCTTGGCATTCTTTGGCTTGTCAAGATATCACCCTGCAAACTGCCTTTATGCTCACATGGTATTCTCTTTGTGTTCAGGACTGAGTCTGTCTCTGTCCAGACTTGCCCTTTGTATGAAGACACAGTCATATTGAAGTAGAGCCTACCCTTATAAGCTCATCTTAACTTGGTCATTTGCAAAGATCCTGCTTCCAAATGAGGTAACATGCACAGGGATGGA